TGGTAACATAAACCTTCTGGGTGTCCCTGCAAAACCAATCGGGCGAAGGCCATAATGATATTATCACTTAACTTTTATTCATATGCCTTAAACGCGCATTACTATATGCACAACAACACCATGAAATTCTTTCTTCTCCTGTTCACATTATATCTTGAAAAAGTAAATTTGTCAGGTACTTCTGAGAATGTAGTACAAGTACAGTCAAAGAATCACAGGTAGGGAAGGTGCCTGTGAGCAGATTGGAGAAGGGAAGTCTTCAGAAGTTTAGTCTCTCGAAATGGCATCAAAGCAGAAGGAATGTAAGCGCACATTGAGGCCGCTTTGCCGCCATTTCATTCTGACCGAAAACTTGAGCCCATTACCCACTAGATCACCCAAAAAATTTTTGCGGCAAGTGGTGGGTGCGAATCGCAAATTCGGGTTTAAACAGGAAAAGGAAGGGAATAGGTACATACGTGCGCCCGAGGATAGGTGCGGCAAATGGCGCGGCCGAATTCGTGGCGATTAGAAGGCTCTGGCGTCTATGATTCGGACACAAACTTGAAGTATAGTAGTTTAGTAGGGTCAGCCGATCCTACTATTCCACTCTATTTCGTACTTGAGTCCCAATGATAGTCGATAAAGTCGTTCAACTGCCACGAACTTCGCCTCAATAAAGTTAAAGAGGTCCCTCGACCAAAAATGCTACTAAAATTGCTAACAACTCTTTTCCTCCTCTCCACACAAACACAATGAAAAACTCTTCTTCACCTTCTTGTCTCGGTCTCCGGTCACGGTGGTGGAAAGGATAACAGCATGGTATCCGGGCAGCACAAGTACCGGTTCGAGTCCCTTCCTGGTTTTATCCAAACTCGCCAACCTTGTTGTAAAACGAAGAACTATTGTAGCACAAGGCATTTCAGTGTAATAAACAATTACACACGTACTATAAACACGTGTGAGCCTGTGTTTACGTATAAACTCCCCATTTTCCAGTAACGAGTTATTTTGCTGTACAGAAGCACAAAAAATCGAATACATTCACCATCGCTGCCAACTAGACGAGGCGGACGACGTCAACTCAATCCGGGGGAGCCGGTCTCAAAGATTTTCCTCTATGTACGAGTAGGATCGGAGAAAAACCAAAGTCAGAGGGAGCGATGTCTGGTTTGCGTAGCGAATGAAGAGGTACTGAATAATTTTACTGTTTAAGTCGATGAACTCTTCATAGCTAGAGAGTGATGAGCTGTTACAGCCAATGTTTCCTTTATGTCAATTGAGTAAAACCAAGCAAACATACACACGAGGATCACGATCGACAGACTTGAGATTGACCGTGTATATCTCAGGTTCTCCTTCATTCCCAGTTTCTTCAGCCTACTTCCAATAGCTAAACTGTAAACTCTAACAATTGAACTGTGAACTCTAAGAAAATTCAATATTCCCATGTAGATTTGAGAGGATGTGTGCGTTCAAGTTGAGTTCGATGGGGTCCTGACTTTTTTTCGTCTTGAGGAGGTGAGCAGCTACTTCGAAGCTTCTGTGCCAGACGGTGACTGCTTTGTTACTTGGAACATGATCATTGTACACCTCGCACATCTTGGCCTCGGCAGCTTTCACATAGCGAATCAGTGGCAGATAGTAAAAGTGATATTGCGCAAGTCTGAGACAAAATTGTTCTGTACAGCAAAGGGAGCTAGTCACGGTTGTTCGCGAAGAGCGAACACTCCAAGTTAAAAGGCACAGTTCACGATAAAAATGTTTCCTGAGTTCTCCCTATACAGTGCGTTTCATAATTATAAGGTCACCCAGATTTTTGCGATTCTGGAGAAAGGAGCCGGAATGGAATTTTTTGACAAACACTGGCAGATTCCTCGTCACAATGTACCTCCGTACTCGAATTTTGGTCGCAATATCCTTCACCTCAAATTTTTTACGGATTTTTTAAAGATAGTGTCGGCTTTTGCACCGTTTCATAATTATAAGGTCACCCTGAGAAAGTAAATGATTTATCAATGTTAATGGCATATGTACAACAGTTAATCTATAGCTCCTCCTTGTTTGAGAGCAACATCAAAGAGCCTGCGTGGCATATTAGAAACTAGGTTTCGAAGATTTTCCTCACTGATTGCTCTCCATGGTTCGATAACTACTCGCTTCAGCTCTTCTGTGCCCTGGAACTGACGGTTATTCGCATAAACCTGTCTGACTATTATGCCTCACATATGTTCCATCGGATTGAGATCAGGACTGCAGGCTGGCCATGGCAGGACGCTTATTTATTGGCATTGCAGCCACTCATCCGCTGCACGGCTCACATGAATGGAAGATTTCTTTTCATCCGAAAAGACGACCTGAATAGGAATTATTCAGCTCTATGGTGAGATTTTGATGCAGATCTTCCTTTGCCCAATCTCTCCCTAGGTTCTTCTTTGCAAATCCGAGTCGAGCCTCTTTGTGACGATCGGTGGTTCGTGGCACCTTCTCCATTGCTTGCCTGGTGATGTTCTCGCATCTTCTCACTGCTCTCCAGACTGTAGTTTTCGACACAGAGAGGTTTAATTCCGATCGGATCTAGTTCAAGGAGGACGTACTGTTGGAAACAGTCTTCAGAATTTTCCGCTCGTCACGGGTAATAATCTTTCATGGGTGTCCACAGTCGGTGTTATATCTAACAACATGAGGACTCTCTAGAAATCTCCGAATAGATCAAGGGGAACTCTATTCGCCTGGAAATGGCTCGAGTACGGAGCCCACCTTCATGATGAGCCTTCTCATCAGAGGAAAGCAGATGACCACGAGCCATGTTGACAGTCAGGTTTAGAAATGCCTTTGCTACACATGCTTACCTTTACAAGTATCTTCAAACACGAAATTTCCTCTCTTTCGTTAATAATTGTTCACTTTCTCGGGGTGACCTTATAATTATGAAACGGTGCAAAAACCGATAAATTGTTCTAAAAAAGTTCAGAAGAATGCAGCAGCGGCTAAGAAACGGATACCTAGGTTATTAGTGCTGGGGCATCCGTTCACGATGCTAGAAAAAATCCTTGATGATTACTTTTTTTGAAAGTGCAAAAATTGAGGGTGACCTTATAATTATGAAACGCACTGTAGGAATATCAGAAGCCTCCAAGGGTAAAAGGAAGGACGCTGTAGGGTCCAAAAACTCAACAGCTAGGGCATAGGAGAGCCCCGTTACAGGTTCGCCCAATTCCCCGCCTGTCGACCGATGTCACGTCAGACGAAGAGTGTCAGCGCAGTTGGTGTTTTGCGTCTGACACCAAACCGCAGAGTGTATAAAGACCATTCTAGGGGAGGAGATCCGGGTTTTCATGAGATTATCACCTCGTCAAAAAGCTGGACACCGAACCATCTCTACGCTCTAGCGCGCTCTCCATGCACCCTGCCGTCTGGTGTCAAAGACGCAGAGCAGGGCGTCCTCCTGCCCAAACACTCCTTTCACGCCGTTTTTCTGCATGTAACTCGTCCAACCACCGGTTTACTACTTTTTTGAACCCCTGTATTTCTTTTTGTGCGCCGTTTTTTGCGTTTTTCGTTACTTTTGCAATAGCCGGAATAAGGAACTTATTATTCTTCACAAACAGGGTACCCAAAAATCATGGTGAACTGTGCCTCTGAACGCTATATGCACGCTCCGCCCTTTCCGTCCCACTACACTCCACTCCTGAACCCCCGCGGGCGGGATTCTGCTCAGCCACTTTCTGCCTCCTAGCATCAGTATGTTAATGCTGCCGTCCGTAGTCGAACCAAATTTCAATACTTCAGCACATACTTCCGCGGGCCTATCACAATTGACCTCTCTAGGTCTTGAGAAACAGGAATTATGTATTCCCCCTCAAACAGCCCAGTGGGCGAAATCCAGACCTGCCACCTGCCACCTGTCATCAGTGCCGCCTGTACTTACTCCAAACGACGGAAACAGGAGTTATGGTCCAACAGACACAGGCGCAGACACACAAACACACGAACAAACAGACATGCTTAGTTGTTAATAATAGAATGTGTGAAACAGTTGCAGTCGTTTTTTTGTTAATCTGTCGGTTTGAAATTCATCTATCTGCCTGTCGGCAAAAAGAGGTGGTAGGAGAAAGCACAGAAGGTCAATTGGCCCAATGTTACTGATAGCGCATTACACCCTTCAAGTTAACATGCCTTCGCTGGTTGGTAGCTGTGAAGTCGAGCTAGCTGCATCAGGCATCGCGATGCTACAAAGGACGACAGTAAAACCAGTTGCGTAGTTGCAGCCGGCCTCACGTGCCTGATTCGTCTACCTGACGCTCGGTAAGCAGGGCTCATGGCATCAACTTTCTAATCGACCTATCCTGGTCATCCTCTTCTTCACTAGACGAAATGGAAATTCAGCACCGGGAGACGGCTTCTACAGTAATCTGGCTGTCAGTTTATGGCAAAACTTTTTATGCTGCACAGCCACATACACCCCATCCACAAACAACGTTTGTCCTTACCCAAGGTCTTTCTTCGATGCGTAGCATGCGTGATGGAATTAAGATGAGTGTATTCAAATGGGGTTTTTCAAGCTGCCGTAGATTGAAATAATCTGCTTGCAAAGTTCTGCATTCATCCCATTGTAATCCATCATAAGGGTCAGTATGTTCGAGTTCCAGCTATGATTTATTACACTTCTGAGCTCGGCCGGCTGAGCTGAAAATCTTTTGCACATTGATGCTCTCTCAAAATAAGGGCTGCATAAACTATGAAGCGATAACCCTAAAGAACTGCTGCTTTCTATGGACTCATCATGAGGATCTCGACTACTTAAAAAGTAAAACCGTAAAAGGAAAAACTCATTTTGTGAAACCTGCAATTAATATTTTCTCCTAAAAAGGTTTCTGATACATTACCGAGAACAAGGATATACGACTCAGTTAGATGTTGCAAAAAGTGCCGTTAAACAAAAAGGATATGATTGCTTTTCAATACCATAATGTCAGATTGATTTTTTTAGTTTCTCCAAGGGTACGGCTCAACCCTCTTCACATCTCACCTGCTCCCAGTGCCAGCGTAGAAAAAAGCGAAGGGATAATGAGCACTAGAGACGACAAAAAATAGAAATAATTGGCATCTGCTTGCACGTCTTTATCGTTGTGATAAGCCGTCACGTTTGAGCACAAACTCTCGTCCTGAATAATTGAAACACTATCAGAGAAAGAAAACAAGGAGAGGAGATGGCCTCGTTTGCGAACATTTTAGAAGTTAATATGCGAACCTTGACCAATAGCAAGCATAAAGGGGACGGGCTCAAGTCTTTAGCTAGCATAGCATGCCGAACTGCGTGGTTTTGACAACGCGCACTCGTAGTGCTGCACATTATCATCTTTTGGAAAGGTTGGGGAGGAGTGTGAGTAGGTATCTATTCAATTGACAAAGCATTAAGGTAAGATCACTATGCTCCTGTCATAATGTAATGTGGCGTCGTCTAACTCAATTAACATTACTCCCATTATTATTCTGATGAAGGATTGCAGAATTCAGGATAAGGATTTGCAACCATTCGATACCGCACCGTACTGTACATGACTAAGAACTTCATCCAAACGCATCGAAGTCGCGCGCGATGGATTAGCCTCATAAAATGCACCTAACTTCTAGTTACATCCGAAACTTTTCCAAGTTACCTCACATGAGAACCTACTAACTACCTATGGTCTGACGTCTCTATCCTAAAAAGGCGAGTTGTTATGAGCAAGCTTACAAGAAAGAAATCATTGATTTGAGCCTAGGAATTGTTCGAATTCTTCCAGATGCCGTGGAACTTCAAATCCTGCGCCGGTTTTTGTCTACAGGTCCCTTAAGACCACCGTTTGCTCCAAAGCACGTAGAGCTCATGCTTTCATCTGCGACGCTCCGGACCCTCTTTTTGCGTGCTAAAGCTGAAATACCGATACTCGGATAGCTAGTCCATTGAGGCGGTAGTTACATCCACTCTCAGCTAGAATCTCTTTCGCCATCTCGCCGCTTCAAGGCCAGTGATAGAATTTGGGTAGATCGTATTTCCCTTCACTCATAACAGGAAAGGAGCTGAACGTAGTGAAGAGAAGCCATGGATGTTTTTGTTAATTGCGAATAGAAAGAATCGTGAATAGAAAGATCACCGCAGCACATCGTGAAGGTTCCAAAATATGGAAGCCGAGACTAATCGAGATTTGTTCCACGATGAAGTCAAACGAACATGTTAGCGTCATAGCGTATGTTTGTCGTCCGAGTGATCGACTCTGCAGTCGCACCTATTCAACCTTAATTTCGGGAACGTATAACGGCTTCGGCTATTTTTTAGCGAACGATAGTTAGATAACCACAGTGTCGTATGCGAGAAAGAGATGATGAATTGAACACAAACACATCTTTCCCTGTCAGTTTTCGAAATTAGCCCTGAAGATTCCGGGCAAGGTGTCAATGACTCTTCATACGACTTTCTCTCAATGTGAAGTGTACTCCAAGAAGGATCGTGAAATAACTGCGAGTTTACAAATTTGTTTCCTCTTCTGAGCAAAGACGTCACAGCTGGTCTGATGAGTCCTTCATTCAATGAGGAATGGGTGCCCTGGATGATTGCTTAACTGCCCCACTTAATTGAGGAAGAACTAGATGGGGGTTTTAAGACTACAAACAACGGATGGATCGTTCTTCGTCGACTCATTTATCCGTCGAACTCAGAACTTATGAACAAATCTCGATTAGTTTCACGGCTTTCATAATCCTGGAACCTTTACGATCTGATGCGGTGATCGTTCTATTTACGATTTTGTAGACAAATCCTTCGCAATTAATACAAACATCTACGGCTCCTCTTCAGCTACGTTCAGCTCCTTTCCTGGTATGAATGATGGAAAATACGACCCCCCCCCCCCC